AGATATTATTACAAACAAACTCTGTCTTTTTAACCCTCTAAATGCAGAAATGCGACACCCTCACTAGACTCCATTACAAGCAGAAGTTCTACATAAAAACCTGATTAATTAAAGTCATTATCAAACATCCTTAAAGCATCGAGGTCATTGTAGTTATGCTGCTCCAGCTGCAGATACTAAATGCTTTCAATGATGAAGCTCTTTGATTCTGACTCAGGTTTAGGTGAACTTGTTGCTCATGTCTGCTCCTCTTTCTGTCTTCCAGCTGTTCGACCAGCTGTCCAGCGGTGACGGTCTCCTGGTTCTGCAGGTCTTCGGTCCGGTTACAGTGTTCCTGTCGGTTCTGGGCATCTGTGCTGCGTCTCTGAACATCAAATCTCTGCTGGGGGTGGTGAGACTAACAATCACGATGGTTCTTCTGTCTTTGTGAATCTGCCCATACCAGAGTCAGATTGTAACCCAAGGGGTAACTCTCAAATAACCCTCTGCTGGCTGGTTCTGCTGCCAGAATGACCTCATTTTACAAAAATGTCCTCACTACAAAGGCTTCATATTCACAGCGGTTCTCACAAAGGAACAAGCACACACACACATGGAGGGGGTGGATCTTTAAAACCAAAAGTTGTTCAACAGAAAGTAAGATGTGAGAACAGAAATTAGTATTTTAGGTGGAATAAACCTTTAATACTACAAGTATTTGGACCAAAGTAGTGGTTTGGGTGGAATAAATCTCCAAAAGTACACGTACAGAAAGCAGCATTTTGGTAGAAGAAATGTTTAGAACTACAAGTATTTGGACCAAAGTAGTGGTTTGGGTGGAATGAACCTTTAAAACTAATAATGTTTGGACAGAAAGTACATTTCTGGGTGGAATAATCCTTTTAAACCATAACTCTTTGAACAGAAAGTATTTTTTGGTGGAATAAACCTTTAAAACTACAGGTATTTGGACAGAACGTAGTATTTTGGGTGGAATGAACCTTTAAAATTACAATTATTTGGACAGAATGTAGTATTTTGGGTAAAAACAAACCTTTAAAACCATAGATTATTTAATACAAAGCAACATTTTGGGTGGAACAAACTTTTAAAAATACAACTACTTGTACAAAAAGTAGTATGTTAGATTAACTATGCATTGAAAAGCGTAAGTTGTTCAACAGAAAGTAAAAACTAGAAGCAATAAACCTTTAAAACTACAACCACTAGGATCAAAAGTATTGTTTTGAGTGGAATAAACCTCTAAAACTATAAGTATTTGGGCTAAAAGCGGTATTTTTGGTGGAATAAACCTTTAAAATTACAATTATTTGGACAGGAAGTAGTATTTTGCGTGGAGTAAAAATCTTATTTTGGATAAAACAAACCTTTAAAACCATCGATTATCTAATATTAAGTTGTGTTTTGGGAATAAACCCTTTAAAAATCCAAGTATTTGAACAGGAAGTAGAACTTTATCAGGTTTTATCAAAGGCAGACGTTCTAACTGGTTGTTGTCGTCGACAGTTTTCTGCTCTGATATTCGTGGAGTTCGTGGCTCTGATGGTTGTCGCGTCGCCGCTGGTCCAGGTTCAGGCTCAGGTAACAAACGGACCTCCACATCGACCCGACAGAAGCTTGTATCTTAAATCTATTCTTAAATCCGTGTTTTTACTCTGTTCTAGATGGACGGCGCCGTAGAGGAGCTGTTCCTGAACGTCACGCCCCTCCACAGAGCAGACAGCTACATCCAGACTGAACTCCAAAAGCTCGAGGCCTCGGTACGAGAACCGGAGCTAACAGATCAGCTAGTCCTGTTAGCCTGTTAGCTTGTCATTTCAACAGTAGTGTTTTGGTTTCATACGTCTGGAATGATGACTGTTGGTTCTAACTGTCATTTAAAGGACTCTTGTTGTGGTTTGAGGAGTTTCAAGGACTGGGAGAATCAACTTCCTGCTTCCTGTTCCTGCACGCCGCCCTCCGACCCGGACGCCAGGTGAGACCGGAGAACACGGAAAACCCAGAACGTTCCTGAACTTCTACGAGAGTTCCTGGATTTCTTGAAAACGCTGAGTTTTGAAGACGTATTTTCTTTCTGGAAGAGTTCGATGAATTGTTCAGTTTCTAAAGAAGTTTGCGCGTTCAAGTTCAGCTCGTAGTTTTCTGGAAAACGTTTAGAACTTTTCTTCGATGTCGTGGTTGTTAAAGACCTTTAGAGGCTTTCGAGAGGTTTGCAAGACTCTGAAAGATTCCCTTAGACTCGAAGAAATGTTTATTTTTATCCGTTTTATCTTGGAGAGCTTTCAGGGTGTTTTCTGTACGTCTACATTATGGAGCTTTTGAATTTGCAAATGTGTTTGTAAATTAATGAAGCCGATATCAGGAAATAAAAAAAACTGCATTTACGTGCTCTTTGATGACTTCCTGTTCTTGCCGTCAGAGGTCTTCCTGCCAACTCCAGCTCAGACGGTTCATGTGTGAAGGTCTCACATCAAATCTGGGTCCACTCCAAGGTAAATGTAGAGTTTTGCATATTTTCTATCTGTTTTTAATTCTTTCTTCTCTGTGCTACCCTCTTCCCATCTTACAAGTTCTACCTCTGTGTTTGTTTTTGATTCTTCCGTCTTGTTTGTCTGTTTTCCTTCCTTTGGTTCCTTCTTCTACCTTAATTCCTTCTGTTTAGTCTTTAATCCAGTCGCAGTCTTTCTTTCTTTACTCTTTCTGCGTTCGTTGATTCTCCTGTTTGTAAAACTCAACAACATGTCGTCAGCTTTTTGTTTGTTGAGTCGACTCTTGTGTTTGAGTCCAGCTGTCAACAAACCTTCAAACCTTAACAAACAGACCTTTTTCTTTATGTTTTACGTCGTCCTGTCTTTGTGTTGCAGCCCTGCAGCCCGATCCTGAAGAGCTACCTGAGTTTTCCCATCAAGCTCCGGATCGGCATCATCTCGGCCTTCGCCACCATCACGGTGAACCAGCACACACTGGTTTCCTACTCACTGCATCATATTTTTACAGTTTACCTCCAGGCTGACACATGAAATGACTTCTGGACTTTAGTCATTATTGATCTAAAAATGAGCCTCATGAGATGTAGAGTTCACGAATTTCTAGACGTGTTAAACTTCAAGAGGAGTTCAGATGTCATGAGGTTTCCACAACATTCGGAGTTTCTAGACGTGGTTCTGAGCCGTTGTACGAGTCTACACACCGGAAGACTTCCACTGTTGCTAGTTCCGAGATTTTCTGGGATGTTCTGGCAGGTTCCTACTTTCTAACAAGAGTTTCTGGATGTTTTATTATTTACTGGGAGCAGAAAAAAAGTTTATTACGCGAAACATCGACGGAAATATATTCAAATTTTTGTGAGGTTTCTGGGTGAGTTCTTTAATACTTCACACATTTCTGGAAGTTTCTTGACGTTTCCAGATGTTCTAAACGTTTCAAGACCTAATAAATGAGACTGAAGATCATTCAAGAGTTCGTAGAAGTCGTTCGGATGCAGGGATGAGCTGCAGACATTCCAGTCCTGTTGAACGTAAACTTGACGCCGTTCGGTTGATGAATAAATCGTATCCCGTCCGTTCTTTTTCCAGATGGCGGCCATCGCCCTGTGCCTGGCTCTGGCTCTGGAGGAACACTGGAGGACGCCTCCGGTGGAAACGACGGTCGACGACTACAACAGGGTGAAATATCAGCCGAAGCCTTCGAACACCTGACGCCCCTCCGACCCGGGACACCCTAACGGAAATGAAGGCGTTTATACATGAAGTTTAAACCACAACGTTCCTCGGAATTTGAAAATGATGCCACAGTGACAAAACAATGACTCTCTGATGCAAAAAACCACTTATTTGTTTTGTTTTGAGTGCAGAGCCTCTAGAGTTGGAGAGTCTTCTTTAATGATGTTTTAAAACAGGAAGTTGGGCGACAGACTCTGCTTTTCAACCCGTGTTCAGAGAATCGGTGCCAGAAAACCAGTCGGGAGGAAACCTGTGGAGTGAGCTTGATAAATAAAGGGTTTCCTCCCGTTTAAACGTTTGTCTGTGTGTCGTTTCATCCTGCAGCCACAAGATGGCGGCAGAGATGTAATAAATAAAGCTCTGATGATTAGACGCCTGTTCTTTTGTCGTCAGTTACGCAACACTCGCTGATACGGAGACAAACTGTTGCATCAAAGGAGGCGACAAAAAAAACCTTCTTCCTTTTATTTCTCTACAGATTTAGTTCATCAGAAGAAGTAAAATGACAAAGTGAAAGTTTTCAGAAAAGCTGCAGCTGATCAGGAAAAAAACCCCCAGAAAGAACAAAGTGCACCTTAAGCATCAGCAGTTACTGTTTAAGGTGGAGCCCAGTGGTGCTCAACATGAGGGTCGGAGCCCTCCGGAGGGTCGCAGCGTACATCTGAGCGGACGGTAGATAATTATGAGGAAACTAAACGAGAAAACAAGACGCCACAAAGAGAAAGAGATTTTTAGTTTTTATCTGACAGGTTTGATGAAATGTTAAATATTTCATAATTAATTAATCTTGATAAAATGAAACATAAACCGCTGATTTCCAAACTTTCTGCGACTCAAAACATGCACATCTTGACTTTTTTCTTGCGATGAATTCACATCTCGACTTCCTCTGATGTAAAAATGTGTGATTTTAAAGCAAATATTAGCAGCGAAATCCATCAGAGGATTCTCTCGTTATTTTGTGATTAGGCCCGAATGGATGGAAGTTTTAAAGAGCTGCACTCAGTAGATGGACTGGTTTGTGCTGTAGGAGGCAGCGCTGAGTTGAATGGAGTCTTATCTTGTATTAAAGCCAAAGAAGAAGAAGAAGCATGACCGTAGGGAGCAACATGGAACAGGTAAGGAGGCCAAACGTGGTGTTTTGTGGGGCGTTAATGAGCATCTGTTGGTGAGAAACTGTGTCCTGCAGCTTTTGTTTTCACTGATTTGAGCTGAGAACCAGATAAAACCTCCAGAACCAGTCAAACACGTGGACATGCAGACGTAACTCCACCTTATCTCATCCACGTGTCCAAGTTTTCATCGGCGTCACCGATGATCTGCGCCAGAATAAATCCCAGCTGTTTGCTTTGGGATGTTTCTCCAAAAGCTGAGGCAAGAAAAAGAGTTTTTATCTCAGAAAGTTCAGTCGAGGAGAGAATGGACACGGAAGTCTGACGCCTCGTTTAAACAATAAATGGAAAACATGAAATAGACGTTATTGGTGCCTTAAAAT